TAGTTATAGTTATTGCTAGTTATTTTTGAATAACTACTCAAGAATACTGAAAATATCCTGAATGTGACTCTTTAATTCTACGCGGTGATGAAGCAGGGGGTATATCACAGTAGGACACTCTCTTCTAATTATTATCTACTCTTGATATAATATATTCTATACTTACTGTAAGAACAAACCGCACGGGACTGCCATTGCGCATTTTATGATATTCATTAGTTATTGTATTATACACAGTATTGTAACAGTGGGAGGACTGTTAACCACAATAGTTAGCACTGTTAACCACAATAATTTAGCACACACCTACATGTTACAAGTGTTTATTCAAGCACCAGGGCAGTTATAGGTCTTAAATTTAAAATGCCTTTGCCCAAATTGCCCCAATCAATAGTTAAAGGTATGATTAATTAATTAGATATATGAATAATTAATTAAGTGCCCTAGTAGATGGAGAAGGCTAGATACGCCTATGACAACCGATGGAGTAAATCTGACTAAAAGAGGTCTGTTCTACTCATTAGAGTGTCCTTTGCTACTTGCAAGAAACTGGCCGCTAAGAACAGAACGATAAGGTCTAAAATCGGGCAGCAAAGAGGAAGAGAAGAGGCACTGAGGCAGCCATTTCTTCACCACGTGGCACTATGAATATCATTAAAAACCACGAGGGGCTAGCTGGGGTGTATATATCAGAGGCAGGGGTGTATATGCTTAATATACTACCCGGCGGTGCCTTTGATCTTACAGTAACTATAGCATATGTACCCATAACCACCTCCAGAAATGGATGAATCCTACACTTACCTCTAATGAAGTCGCCTCACGTCTGAGGTTCTGGCACTTCCCTGCTTTTTTAGGACGACAGTCCGAGCATGGCTGATTTTTTTGTACACAAGAGCAATATAAACAAACGCCAGTGCTGTTACAACCACAGCACTTCGACTTAGACATTAGTAGCTTTAACGAATGAAATTCCACGTGTGCGTAAACATGCGTAAACCACATTTAATGCCACGCCTACTTTAAATTTTAAGTCTTAGTCTACGCCCACTCAATTTTTTAACCCTTTTGATTTTTAATTTGTAGGATGAGAATCAAAAGATTTTTTGTGTGTACAGGCTTGCTGGTTTCTCACTTGATTGTAGGACTTCTGGTAGCAATTTATGGCAAATCGGGGAATGGTATGTGTAGCATTTAATTATGAAATTAGATTATTGTATAACTGATAGATGGAATGAGAAGTAACAATCTACCCAGTTGCAGTTTTAAATCACCAATTATACACATCAGGACAGAAAGAGAAGTAGAAGGAGGAGGAGGGGCTCACAACAAGAGGATTGTTTTTGTAATTACACCAACGTATAAACGACTCACGCAAAAAGTAGATTTGCTAACCCTCTGTCACTCTCTCTCGCTCTCACGGGCTCAAGTGAAATGGATAGTCGTTGAAGACTCCAAAAATCCCACTCCCCTAGTCTCTAATTTCCTCTCTCTCTGTCCTGTCTCTTCTGTTCATCTTTCAGTGAGGACTCCACATAAAAAACCTAAACTTTGGTGGTTTCAGAAAATATTTGTTAAGAGATCGTCATGGCGGCACAGAGGTATTGATCAGCGCAACATGGCCTTGCAGTGGTTGAGGGATAAGTATTCAACTCAAAACTGTCATGAAGGCATAGTATATTTCGCTGATGATGACAACAGATATCATTACAGGCTTTTTGACACTGTGAGCAGTACATTTAGGCTATGTTTACACAGCAATGAAAACGATCCAATCTGTATAGTTTTGTGTCTAGTTTATGGTTCTGTTTACACAGAAACAATGAATAAGTGATAGAATCTTGATAGGACTCTATGGAAAGGAAAAGGTGTTCAAAGTGTATCGTTTTAAAAGCAATCCGTTTTGCGTTGCTGTGTAAACCCAGCCTTAAGCTTATTAATAAAATGATCCAATGATTGACATTCTCTCTTTTTTTCTCTCTCTCCTTTCCCAAGATAAGCAAGACAGTTAAGATATCTGTCTGGCCTGTTGGTTTCGTAGGTGGAATACTCTACGAAGGTCCTGTATGTTACAACAATACCGTCACCAAATGGAAGTCCTGGGCTGTAAATTACGATCCAGAGAGATCCTTTCCTATCGATATGGCTGGGTTTGCCATCAATTTGTGTCAGCTATTGGAGAAGCCTCTTGCAAATTTCAACAACTCTTGGAGTAGAGGCCAACTAGAAACTGAGTTCCTTCATCAGTTTGTGACGAGTAAAGAAGAACTAGAGTGTCGTGGATCAGACAAAGAAGTAATATCATTTTTATGCCGTGATTAGAATTTTGTATCTTTTAATTTTTTTAGGTACATGTTTGGCATGTAAAAACAGCAAAGCCATCAATATCGAAATCTCATCAATTGCAACACTTTTTAGAAACATGAGATAAAATGCAAAAGAACGAGCAAATTCGTCAAATAATGTTTTTTTTAGAATAAATCATCAATTGCTATTAAAAATACACTTAAAATAAATTATAAGAAAAATACCTTTAAAATGAGACAGGATATGATGCACTCGTTAGTTAACTTCATTTAATTATTCACAATCGCAAAAATTGAAAAATTTTAATCCTAAGCATGCACGTGAATTCTGAGGATGGTGATAGGTCCAACCTCTTCCCCATGAAGAAGTCTATGATGCCTAGATCAAAATTCAAAACAACTTTGATGTGCATAGGCTTGCTGGGCTCTCATTTGTTCGTAGCAATACTGGTAGCGATTAATGTCAGGTCGGAGGATGGTATGTCACTGTTGATTTTTTTTATTTTATTTTAGTGAGGAAACGGAGCCTTCTTTTTGTCTGTTTTTAGTACCTGAAGTATCTCAAATAGCGAGAAAAGATCTACCCAGCTGCTTCAACGCACCAATAATACACACTAATGAAGCAGAAAAGGAAAGAGGAGGTGGAGCAGTTCATGAGAAAATTGTTTTTGTAATTACACCAACATATAAGAGACACACACAAAAAGTAGATTTGCTAACCCTCTGTCACTCTCTCTCACTCTCGCGGACTCAAGTGAAATGGATAGTCGTTGAAGATTCGAATAATCCCACTCCCCTAGTCTCTAATCTTCTCTCTCTCTGTCCTGTCTCTTCTGTTCATCTCTCAGTGAAGACTCCGCGTAAGAAAACTCTAGTCGCTAAATTATTTTGGAAGATAATGCATGGTCACAGAGGACTTGAACAGCGCAACATTGCTCTCCAGTGGCTGAGGGATAACTATTCAGCTAAAGACTGTCGTGGAGGCGTCATATATTTTGCCGATGACGACAATAGATATGACCACAGGATTTTTGATGTTGTGAGTACATTTTATGGTTTTTTAAACTTGCATGATGGAACAAGCAGAAATGCTATTGTTTTTATATATATATGCACCTGCAATTTAATGAGCCACTCCCACTCGATTGAAACCATAGAAGATGTTTTCTTTTTACTTTCACAACTGCTTAAGAATGTTTTCATTTCTTCTTTTTTCTTTTCTCTTTCCTCAAGATAAGCAAGACAGTTAAGGCAGCTGTCTGGCCGGTTGGTTTTGCCGGTCACATACTCTACGAAGGCCCCGTATGCCACAACAATACCATCACCAAATGGAAGTCCTGGGCTGTAAGAGTCGGCACAAATAGAAAGATCCCTATCGATATGGCCGGCTTTGCCGTCAACTTGTGCCAGCTGTTTGAGAAACCCGAGGTGTACTTTGATAACGCTTGGAGTAGAGGTCAACTAGAAACAGAGTTCCTTTATCAGTTTGTGACAAATAAAGAAGAACTGGAATGTCGTGGATCAGACAAAGAAGTAAGTACAGATTTAGATACAAGCAGTCATGACAGTAATATTGTATTGATGATTTTAGGTTCTTGTATGGCATGTGAGAACAGCGAAACCATCGCTGTATTCCGGCTACCAATTAGAACATTTTTTAGAAACATGAAATAAATGAGAAAGGAAGGAGTGAAATTGGTTATATAAATAATAATAATAATAATAATCATAACTAATAGCTTTCAAAGTTCAAATTCATTTAATTTATAATTAAAAATCATTACGTTGTGAACCGGGCCAAGTTATTTGCATAGAGCTGAGTCTGGAAAGAGGTGACAGTGGAGAGACTTAAACCTAAAGGAAGAAGATAAGAGTATATAATAACCTCTCCCCCTCACTCTCTCTGCCTCTCCCACTTTGCCCTCCTCTTTGCTTCACTACCAATCTATTGCACTCTTACCTTGATGGGTCTTCACTGAAAGGGAATCTAGCATTAGGGACTTTAATTGCATTGTTCTTGTAGCCTTTGTAGGCGCATAACTGACCACAACCATAGGCAAACCCGATCTATCAACATGTGCAAACAATCAATTATGGCAATGACATAATGTTACTATGAACGCACATATGTACATGTACATGTATGTGTGTGCATTATAGATACTTTTATATGCATGTACATGCATGGATATTGTATTGCTGTATAGAGTGTGTGTGTGTGTGTGTGTATGTAGATGTACCTGATCTTTTAATGTTCTTGGATTCACAAATCTTGACAGTATCAGTCCATGAGGATGGAATAGCTTAGTTCTTGAGAGTCTTTCCTTAGCAAGTAGCTCTAGAAGCATATACACATAATAGCAATGGATCATGTGGTTAAATCATAATCAACTGCTGAATGCTAATCAACAGCTATTAATGCTAAATCGAAAGTTACGCCCACATAAAACCACAAATACTCACCTACAGTAGCACCAACAGCAACATCTTCAGGCTGTAATAGCTTGTTGCATGTGTCCCCCATTGTCTCCCCATTACTGCCAATAAACAATCAAGAGTACAAAAGAGTACATGTACATGTATATGTACATGCATACTTACCCTAGCCATGGCTTTACTTTATCAAGCATTGCTCTTGAGAGGCAGTACATTCCACCGACAGCAAAATGAAACGGATGTACATTCTGAGGCTACATGTACAAACAGTTAATAAACCAACAGTGTCTGTGATGAATAACAATAATTATCAAGTTACCTCTAACATCTTCTGCTTCTTAGACAACTGGAGTCCATGATGTTTGTAAATACAGAAGGCAAAAATGTAATCAATATAATAATATATGTTATAATTTGGGTTTATGTAGTAGTGCCTGTTACCTTGAAAGGTTTCTTCCAGTGGGTACCTGCTCTGCCCATGTATATCGGCTCTTTCAATGGATCAAACTTTGACAATAGATTAACGAGGTTCTTTAGTATGATGTATATATCGTCGTCAAGGTGACAAAACCAGCTGGAAGTAACAAGAACATTATTAATGGTAAATTGCATAATGACTGATAATAATTAAGACATTCAAATATAGTGCCTATTCTAAGAAGTATTACTACATGTAGTTGCAAAGCAATTAACAAAATTATCAGGGAAGCAGCTAAATGGAAAGACTGAATAGGAAGCCTATAAAAACTTTCATCTTAATTCTTAATACAGAGCAACACTCCATGAACACACACTGTGTGACATATGAGGACTGAGTTTTGTTTTGACCAAAATATAAATGGAGGAGATAGAATCGCCCACACACACACACACACACAGATTCAAGGAATGGTATGATGATTGTAACAATGACATACTGTACCTGTACTGCTTGTTTTCTGGTCTATGCATCAATGCCATTTCCTCTCCTGATTTGCAACACAAGCTCCATCTGTTTTCAGAGAAAGGATGCCAAGAGAAAGTGAAGTACATGATAGTAGTAACAATAGTATGACATTCATTTCTTTACCTGCTGTAGTCTTTACCACAAGAAATGATTTTATAATGTATACCTATAGTGTATGAGAGAAATCAACTCTCATTCACTGTTTCTGTGAGTGTAAAATTAAAATGCACACAACTATAGCAATTTTTTGGGTATGCAAATTTTCCTAAAACATGGGGAGTTTTAGTAGAGTATGATATGTATTCCAGGAATAATTACGTTAAAAGTATATGTACATGTACATGAGTAGGTACATGTGTAATAGGTACATGTATATTATAGTACCTAATTGCCTGCTCTTTTCCTGATACTCCTCATCTTCAGCATCAGTAACTAAGAACACGTTGCTACCATTCACTTTGTTAAGCCAAGTATCGTACATGTACGGTAATCTTTTCTGATGGAACTTTCTTGTAGTTCTAATCGTAATCATTATATTATTGCCAGCGGATTCAAAATTGGACAATGTTCTCGAGGGTCGCTGGATTTTCTCCAACATCGTTTCGCTTTCAGTTAGCCAGTACGATGAGTTCTTGTTACTGCTTGATGGCTGCTCTGAAGAACTCGTCTTTTGAGAAGATGAAGGTGCATGGGAGGGAGGTGAGTCTGAATTTTTCTGGGAAGATGAATCTCGTTTCTCAGTAGTGGCAGGGGAGGAGTCTGTGAGTTCTTCTCTCGTGTTGGGGTCCTCTATTACCTGGAGGTCCCTCACTGTTAGTTGTCCTTTCTGTTCAAAGACGGCCTTTGCGTCGAGTAGACTGTTGTCATGGTTTGAGTTTGATGTCGAGGAGGCTGTAAGCATGTCTCGTACAAGCCAGACGATCACCACAGACTGGATGAGGAGAGTAGAAAAAAGAAAGTATCGGCAGCATCTGGGCTGCATGTCAAAGAGGAAAGAGGAGAGGAAAAGGGGAAGAGGAAAACAACTGGACTGGATGAACTTTTCAGACTAGCTTTTAAGAATCAAATATGTGGGTGTGGTCAAGCATAACAATGAATAATAAGTAATTAGAATGATGATTAATTATTAGTTAATGAATGACTAATAGTAGTAAAATGCATGTAAATAATGCAGTTGTCTCATTGTGCAATAATTCTTTAAGATGAAGATAGCAGTGCAGCCGAGAAAAATGACTAAACTCATATTCAAATCTATAGCACCTGGTGTTTAAAAGAAGAGAAGATAAATAGAATATATATATATATAAAGATGTTCCTTACTTGTTCTTTCTTCTTTCACTTTCTTAGACGATAGCACAACACCATCAGTATAGATCTAAATCAACTTGTTTTGCACATATTTGTTTTGCACATATTTGTTTTGTACATATTCTCTTTCATCAACAGCTCCGTATGAACAACCACAAAAACAACATGGTTTGCTTTTGGTTTCAAATATCACCTGTTATTATTATTAATATGGCACCTAATGTCATATCAATCATCAGGAGTTTATCTCTTACATGCAGCAGCTGTCATTGTGGAGCCTCCTCTGGTAAATTTGGGGGAAATTTTGTTATTTTTAAAGTTAATGTAAATTTGCTTTTGTGTGGCAAGGAATTTTTCTTTGCTTACATGAATAATAAATGATAATAAAGCAAGTGCAGTAAACATACAATAACAGTGTTTAAAAATCTAACTATATAACATGATTAATAATTATTTTTAGATGCTCAAAGCATGCTCAAAGTTCCAAGGTCAAGGTGTTCAAGTCATCCAATGGCAATCAGTACCAATGACAGTCCATGCAGGACATGCAAAATTATCAAAACTCACAAATGCAATGAAACAGAGCTCTAAAGCATCTTTTGGCAGCCAATTTTCCAAGCAATTTTCCTAAAAATGACAAAAAAAATTATGCAAAAAAAATAGATGTCAAGTTATTAACCACACCCATTATTTCCAGCCACGCCCTCCTTGATCCATCATGTTGGATGCATTCGACATTGTCCGCCTCGTTGATAAGCTCCCTCTCAAAATATGCGCCATAGCAACATGGAGTAAGTGGGAAAGAAAGATAGCAAAGGAAATACGGTCCCTTTTCATCTTTTTCAGTGACCATTCTTATTGTAGAGGGCGTTAATTAGAATGACTTGTATTTTTAGCTCCTCCTCCTTTTTTATATGTATACTTTTATTTTTAGGAGAGCAATTTATGATCAGCACTGTCAGTACAAAGAATGAGGCTCACTTGCTCGTGTATAAAGTTGTTTCGTCAAGTGGTGAGTTCAATAAAGGGCACTTGAAATCATGTACAATGTGCTACCAGGTTGTTTGTCATCTTTTCTTTTTGTCAAAAATATATCGATGCCCTTATGCCATGCAAGAGCTGGTTTTTAGAGCAAAATTTTGATTTATTAGCATTTTTATGCATGCGTATGTACATGTACATTGACAAGAAATTTTATGTTTCTCCATTATCTCTATAATTCTCTCTCTCTCTCTCTCTCTCTGTTTTGAGTATAGACTTTGATAGACCGTACGAAGCTAAGCTTGATATGACGCTCAAGAAGTTCACGCCGAAACCGATCATCAGTTTATCGGTTATCCCAGAACAAGACATGTTCTTAGCACTGACAAGTTAGCGTCCATTCATTCTACAGACTAACATGTGTCCCTCTATCTCTTATTGTGTGTGTACAGCTGATGGTGAGTTTCACTGTGCTAATCTCATCACATATCAAATTGTGAACATTGGTATACCACGTCTTAAGGGATGTTCCACTTTTGCCGTCGACTGGCACAGGCTAAAAGGTAAAAGGGAGGTTCTAATTTACTGCATTATGATTTGAGTCTATTTTCTTTTTAAGGTTTCAATGGTTATTTAAGAATTTGTATTGTCCTTAAGAAAAAGTTACTTGTCTATACGTACTTTGGTGGTACATTCACTCAGACTGTAAGTTTTAAATTTAAAACCATTTACTCCCTTTAATTAACATAGTAGCACTTTAATATCATCTGTTAGTTTTATTCTTCTCTATATTCTTTTCTCTTCTTCTTATGTTATAGAATGATTTGGTTGTCCTTGAAACTCCAAAGATGGTCTCTTGGTTAGGAGAAGGCATCATATTTTGTATAAAGAAAGATCTCTACTACATGACTGTACGTTGAACTAATTTAATATCATATCCTCCCCTTTATTTCTCCCCTTCATTTGTAATAGTATCACAGTATGTGGTTATTTTTTATACTGTAGCTTGATGGTTCTTCCAGAGAGTTATTTTCAATCGGTCAGCATCGCTCTGAGCCGTGTGTGCTCCCAATAATGAGAGGAGACAAGCAGGAGATGCTGGTACTGAACGACGACAAACAGGTACTATAAGAATATACTAGAATATACTAGAGTATACTATAGTATGCAAGAGTATACAGTTTAGAAATAATGAATTATTATTATTCTTGTAATACATTTACTTTATTAATTTTAGATTAGTTTAGACACAGAAGCTAAACCTACCCAACCGTCTGCTCTGGTTTGGTCGGAGAACCCTGTCTCCATAATACACATTCATCCTTACATCATCGGCATGTTGCCACGGTAAATGTAACAATAGCTGGTAACATACATGTTTTTTACCCAGGTCCATCGAAATACGAGCATTGGAGCAAAAGCTGCTAGTTCAGAGTATAAAAACGAATGAGCAGATCAAAGATCACGTCAGATTCATTGCACATGATCAAGTGACTTTAGTCGCTAGTCACACTCAGGTAATCCTCAAATTATCAAGCTATTCCTTCCTGTCTTGCTATTCTCTTGACTTTTTCACTTCAGAAAAATATAAAAATGGAGAATTCTCTCCTTTTCATTTGTGGCAAAATTTGGCCAAAGTCCCTGTACTTACAGTACAGGGACTTTGGTATGATTTTTCAGCAACTTTAAAAATTTGTAAAAAATTCAAATTTGATTGGAATTAGCTCAAACTTTCTATACAACATAAGAACATGTATATGTATCAGAGAAAATTATTAAAATGGAGAATCTTCACCTAGTGATTTTTGCTGAAATTTGGCCAACGACACTGTACTATAGTACAGGGACTTTTGCCCAATTTTGGAACAACTTTAAAAATTCATTAAAAAATCGATTTTGATCGGAATTAGCTCAAACTTTCTACACAACATAAGAACATGTATATGTATCAGAGAAAATTATTAAAATGGAGAATCTTCACCTAGTGATTTTTGCTGAAATTTGGCCAACGACACTGTACTATAGTACAGTGACTTTTGCCCAATTTTGGAGCAACTTTAAAAATTCATAAAAAAATCAAATTTGATCGGAATTAGCTCAAACTTTCTACACAACATAAGAACATATATATGTATCAGAAAAAATTGTTAAAATGGAGAATCTTCACTTAGTGATTTTTGCTGAAATTTGGCCAACGACACTGTACTATAGTACAGTGACTTTTGCCCAATTTTGGAGCAACTTTAAAAATTCATAAAAAAATTCAATTTTAATCGGAATCAGCTCAAACTTGATGTACAACATAAGTACATGTATATGTATCAGAAAAAAATTTTTAAATAGAGAATTTCCACCTAGTGATTTTTGCCGAAATTTGACCCAAGACCCTGCACTCCATTTTTCCCTGCTGTCTTACCTATTCCCCCTTCATTAGGTGTACAAGTTAGAACCCAAAGCGTATGAGAAGCAGGTCCAACAGTGTGTGCTCAGTAAACAATTTGAACTAGCACTGGAAATATCAGTAAGTCCAATACAATATAATCTCATCGTGTGATTATCATGTGATGTTCATGTGATTGTTTCAGGAGCTAATAAAGGAGACTGAGAGCGAGAGGAAGTTGAGGAGGGAGGAGATACTACGTCGCTATGCTTTTTATCTTTTCACTCGACACGAGTTTGAGAAATCACTTAAATTCTATTTAGAAATAAATGAAGGTTCATTATTATTATTATTATGAACAACAACATTAGTGCATGAATTATTATCAAGACAAGTTTGAAAATAAAATTTGTTATTATCATTATCATTATTATTATTATTATTATCAGTAACTATTAAGTATTGTTATTATTTGATTATTATTTGTTCTTTCTATTTCAGATCCAATGCATGTGATTGCCCTGTATCCTCATTTCCTTCCAAGTGAGCACAGGCAGAACCTGTCCCTACCCACTTCCCCACCCACTTTTACTGGAGAAGACTTAAAGAAAGCAACCGAGTTTCTCATCAAATATTTGACACAGGTGGGCCCCCATGGGAACAAATTTAACAAAATGTGCCTCATTATTTTGTGTACATGTAGTTACGATATTTAGAGCAGCAGAACTTGCAGCAGCTGCTCACAAGAATGGAGAACAAACCAGAGGAGTCGCCTGTTGATTGTGAATCTAAGAAAAAAATAGATGCCAGACTTCTACTGATTGACACAACACTGCTCAAATGTTATATAAAGGTATGGAAGGTTTGAAACTTAATGTATTTTATTAGAAACTTTCTTATATATATAAATCTGTAATCACATGTACACATACATGTATTAAAATTTAATTTTGTTGTATAAGTTTGTCTGAAAACCATGACCGTGTGCACTTTGAGGTTGGAATTTGTCAATTTTTAAACATTGTGTGTAACTCAAATATTGCTCAAATATTCTTTATTTGTCTCTTCTTTCTATAGACTGGTAACAATACTTTGATTGGGTCTTTGGTTCGCTTGCCCGAGAATCACTTGCACCTGGGAGAAAGTGAGAGGGTTTTGAGGAATGATGAAAAGTTTCAAGAATTAGTTCAACTCTACCAAACTAAAGGACAGCACAAATTAGGTAAGAACATGCATAATGTATCAGAAAAAAATTATAAAATGGAGAATTCTCTCAGAGCCATTCAACTAAAAATTTATGACAAGTATAAATTTGATTGGAATCAGTCTGCACAACTTAGGAACATGTACATGTATATGCATCAGAAAATGTACTGACATTAATTTTTTATTAGCTTTGACCATGTTACACAGTTTCCACGGAGGTCCAAATTCATCGCTCTCAGGGGTGTGGCCAACCATCGACTATCTTCAGAACCTTGGCAGCGAGAATATAGAGCTCATACTTAAATACTCAGAGTGGGTTTTACAAGAAAGCCCTGATGATGGCATAAAAGTAATGTTTATAAATAAGGGAACAAATTATTTGTCTCTCTCTCTCAGATATTCACAGAGGAGATTGGGGAAGTGGAGGCTCTTCCTCGTAGTAAAGTACTAGCTCATTTGGGCAACATTGCACCTGCTCTAAGAATACAATACCTTGTGGGTTGTTATTTTTTATTGTTGTTTTTTATATTGTTGTTTGTAGGAACACATAATTCAGAGATGGAAGGACACTACGCCTGAATTTCACAACGAACTAATTTTAATTTACATGAATGAGATTGTTAACAATAAGCTACCTCAATATTTGAAATCAATAAGAGGTAAGTGATAATAACGTTCTCCCTCGTCACCCTCTTCTCTTCATTGCAGGTAGACCCAGAGCTAAAGCTGGTGAAGAACCAGGAGAGCTAGGCTACCTAAGATCAAGATTGCTTCATTTTTTACAATCGTCAAAATACTACGAACCTGAGGGTCTAATATCAAGATTTCCACAAGATGGTAAGCAAGACATGTGACCATCACACAGCAATCATGTGTCGTTTTGTAGATCTGTTTGAGGAGAAGGCTCTCTTGCTTGGACGATTGGGTAGACATGAAATTGCACTTGCTTTGTATGCTCATGTCTTGAAGGATCCAAAAATGGCAGAGGAATATTGCAGGAGAACATATGATCCAGAGGAAAACAGAGGGGTACATGTAGATATGCGTATATACTATTATTACACATTACCATTACGTACATGTACATTGTATTGTATTTATTTTTTGCTTTAATAGGTTTATTTGGATCTAATAAAAACGTACCTCAATCCTCCGACAATTAAGGACATTGGTATCAGTCTTGAAGGCATTATAGAACCAGTCAAAGACATCAACACTGCCATGACAATACTAGCCACTTACCACGAGAAGATAGACACAGCAGCTGTAAGAGAGAGGAGAGAAGAGGGAGCCAAAAAGAGTTAATTTTTCGTTTTAGGTAATGTTGCTTTTACCAGAAGATGTCTCCATTCAAGACATAAAGCAGTTCTTGACGACAGTACTTGAGGAGAACATGGTCGTGAAGCGAAGAGCACATGTGCTGCAAGGCCTTCAATTGGCAGAACATTTACAAGTAATATATCAATAATGGAACAATGGATATGCAGTTAAAATTTTCTTTAATTCCCACTAATAGATCCAGAAGTCAAGAATTAAAGAGCAAGCTCCATGTTTTGTAATCGATGACTTCACTAACTGTAAAATATGCAGCAAGAAGCTAGGTACAAGGTAAGTTCAAGACCGTCTGATCATCATGTGGATGTCACCTTTAATATTTTAGTGCTTTTGCTCGATACACAAACGGCGATCTGGCCCATCTCTTTTGCTATCAACAAGAGATGGACAAACAGATTGAATATTAAAAGATAATATTGAGTGTTTCTTTGTTTGTGTTTAGTTGTTTGTGTGTTTTTTGAATTATGTGTGTTAACTGCTGCTCTGTATGTATGGGCAGGGAATTGGCTCTGGAAAGATTTATCTCTCACCAAAACTGTATTTATATTCTTTTTCTTATTATTATAAGAAACAATTTTATTATTATTATTATTATTGATCTTTACTGAAATTCACGTTCCTTCCCATGACATTAAGTTGAATTATGGGTGGGGCTGGCTTTCTGCAGGTTTGGATTTATTGATACATACATGTACGTGGCATGGGATACCTTCAGTTTATTGGTCTACTCTTACTCCTCCTTCAAAGAGCATGTTAGTTCCTGTCTCTATCATTAGTTATACATTGTCTTTGTAACTGTTTTTATAGGCCCCCAGCCTCCATTGATAACAGGATTGCCGGTTGAGCCAGTATGCTCTAGTAAAGAGTCTATAGTGTTAAACTGTACAACATCTTCTGAGCCGCTACAAACATTTTGGAAAATAAATGAATTTGGTGTTGATTTTGTGTTTGCACCTGATGGTATGACAGTAGGTTCTACTAACAGTAGGTTTGTTGGCACTTTAGTGAGTGCAACTTCAGATCTCACCATATCTACACTAACATTTGCTGCTAATGCATCATTCAATGGTGTAGAAGTTGAGTGTATTGATGGTAGTACATTACCTTCCACTGTTAGCAGCATAACAATAAACTTCACTCTAGCAAGTCAGTGTATACAATGTATGTATGATCATCATTTATACTTACTGTAGCTCTTCCTGGTCCACCAGTAAATGCATCAGTTGCTTCTCTTAATTGTTCCTCACTTATAGTTAAATGGGATCCACCTAATGATACTGGAGGAGTAGAAGGAATATCTTATGAACTGATGGTTTCATTGAATGACACTCTCATTAAAGAACTGAGCAATATCACAGATACTTATATTACACTAACTGATCTGGATTATGAGACTGAGTATAATATAAGTATCATTGCTGCCAACTGTGTGGGTAGAGGGGAGCCAGCTTTTATCACACCAACCATTACCATAGGTAAGCACATACATTTTAATTGCAGTTATTTTTATTTTTAAAACCCAGAGCCTCCATCAAATCTCACTGCTTCAGTGCTGGACTGCTCATCACTGAATGTAACTTGGACAAGACCAGCTCTTGAATTTGATGAAGCCATATCCTTTGATATAACAATCTCTCCACCACCTCCTTCTCTCATTACTTCTCCTTATTTTACTGAAGGAGTATGTACTACTGATGAAGAGTTCCTCATAGTAACTGGATTAGATCTATACAGTTTAGGCTATACTGTTAACATCAGTAGTAGTATATGCTCAGGAGATGCTTATTCATCTTATGCAACTATACAGCAAGGTTTGTGATGTTTATAATGTTGATTTTACTAAAATGTATTTTAAGTAGAACCACTGTCCAGTGTAATTTCATTGGGTCCATTGAATGTCTCATTCCTGTCATGTGATACCATGTTTTTGTCATGGAGTGAGTCAAGAGTGTATTCTGAATATGGTGTAACAGTATCATCTTCTGATGGCTATAGTTTGAACACTAGTACACCATTACCTTACATTAATGTCACTGGTTTAGTGTATGGTGCTACCTATGCAGTGTCTGTGTATGCTGAAGGTTGCAAGGAAAGTATGATCAGTAGGGACATTATTAGTAGGGACTTCTCACTCTGTGACAGTGACATGTCATCATCACTAAGTGTGACATCATCTTCACTTGTAGCATTCCCTACAGTATCAGTAGATTCTGTTAGTAGTTTATCATACAATACTGCCTTTAGTCCCTTAACATCAGTTATTTCAACACCAACTGCTACTCATGAGCCTTTCTCTAATACTTTTCCAAGCTATTTTTGGGCGATTATTGTAACTGGATTCATTTTAATAGCACTGGTAGGAGTCCTCATTGTCTTGACTTTACGTTTCACCATCAAAAAGAGTAAGTTATTATTAATTTTTTCTTTTTAATTTTTTTAATATACACAGGACAACTTGTAAAAGAGATGATACAGTAAGTACTGGCATATTGTCATTACTGGCATTACTTTATTTTATAATGTAGGATCAATCCAGAGCCTAAATCTAAAGTTCATTTATTATCTGCTAAATCTGATGCTGTATCTCCTACAGACTCAATTGCTGCTCCTCCTCAATCTTTTTCTACTCAACAATCGTCAATTCCTCTTTCCACTTTGACCTCTAGTAGCAACAATGGATCTCCTGTACTGACTAAAAGTGAAACTGTAGCCTAGCATAGGAGCTTGTCCTACTTCTTAATCATTTTAAATTTATGCATGTTTATAGCAATCATTGTAGAATATTTAAATAAAAAGTATTATAACTTTTTCTTTAAAACAAGAAGCAACTAAGGAACATATAGAAAGAAATACAGACACAAAGGGAAGCTACAGTATAGTATGTAGAAGGACACTAACAGCAGAATAATAATAAAGTTTTTTTGTTTACACAGACTTATTTACGTCAGATACATAAGTAATATTAGTTGTAGAATTAATTAGTTAAAAATTCTAGACAGTTGATACTGACAGACTAGAGTTTCGTACCTTCCGTCATTTCGTGCCTATATTTAGAAAAAATGTGGAATTAAATACAGGAATAATGTAAGAGGAGCTTACTCTTCGTTTCTCTTTGCAGCAGCAGCAGCACAACAACAACAGCAAATAACAAGAACGAGAACTGCTATAATAACAGCAAGAAGTATTCCACCTCCAACAGCAATGACTGCAATAGCCCATGTAGGCAAAGCTATATAAAGCAATTGATAATACTGCTATGCTTAATATTTTTTTCTCACTTACATTCATCATCATCATCCATTGTTGGTGATGTAGAAGGCATTGGGGGTGTACTGGTTGGTGTAGATGTCATTCCTACAGAGGTTGTTGATGTTGGTTGAGGTGGCATGTATGTCAATGCTAAAAGAAACAAAAAAGAAGAAAATTATTAGCAATTAATGCACACCAATAGTTGAGTGTATTTGCTACGAATGCAATATCATAGCAGTACAATATGTATCTATATTCATAATTCACATGAGTATGATTATTATTAAGAGCACAATGCATCATTCTAAAATTGATTATTATGACGTGTGTGTGTGTGTGTGTGTCATCTTTCTTCTTACTGAAGGTCAAACTGGTTGCTGTGCTATTTCCAATGTCATTTTCACCAATGATGCTCACTGTATATGTCTCTCCAACAACAGCTCCAAGCAATCGTTGAAAGTTGCCCATCATTCTAGCCATTCTACGTCGTGTAACAAAGACTGATGGAGACATATCATCATCATCAGACATGCTTCCACTTCCACTACCCATTCCACTTTCCATCCTGTCAAGATGACGCGTGGCATTGTGTGTAATGTAATAATACATAGTCCTTGGACGATATGCACTCATTGCCTGTCAATTAAAGAGAGAAATATTATGAAATATTATATATAGCATCTTTGTTTAGAAGTATATACTTACATCCCATCTGACAGTGACATTGACCCGTGTTCCATCTTGTGCATTCATTGCTATTGGCATGTGGAGTGCCCTCACATTAGTAACAGGTAGAGGGACTATATGAACCAATCAGTTATTACATGTGATCATCATGCACTTACCATCAAGCCTGATGCTCTGGGGCATTGTTGCAAGGTCATTTAGTAACTTCTCACTCGCAAAGCCAGCAACAGGCATAACTCTGAAAGTATACAGAACTGAGCTGCTTGCATTTTCCAGCTTGAAATAGGACTCTTCTTTGTAGTCTGTCATTGGTGGACCATTATCTCTTGAGATGTTGACATTGTAGCCATTTGAGCAGTAGTCATCAAATTCAGTCCAGTTAACAGTCACATAACTCCTGGAGACATTTTCGAATTCCAGCGTAAGGTTTTGTAGCGACTGAATAGCTGTTAAAGTAATAAATTATTTAAAAAATTTCAAATGATTGCATCCTTACGTGTGACGTTAAAAGCATTGGAATACAAAGGCACTTCAAGAGTACTATTCTCTTCAGGAAGGGAACAGACGATTCTGTAATTGTTGTTCTGTGGAGACAACCTTATGGTTGCCAAGCTATAATCATCAAAGTAAGAGAATGTGAAGTTTCCCATATTAATCCATGAGGTATTCATGGAATTGGTTGAATCAAGCCTGACAGAAGAACCAACTGTCATGTTACCACCATCTCTTACAGACCACACAACATAGTCTGCATCACTATCAAGTGTACAGCTGCATGTGATCGTCTCATAAGCGCATACTGAGGTCGTTGAACATGTAAAATTACGATCAGCAAGACAAAAGGCTAGAAAAGAAGAATAATATAAGATCTTATCCTTTTAAAAGATTTACTCACTTGTAATTAGCAAAATTGTTAAACCGAGTAAGTAACGCCCACTCATTTTGTCACCTACAAAGAAAACAAGCAAACCCTTCACTGCTATGGCTACACTTTTCACTTTTCAGCTTACCTTATTACTATAAATGAGGCCTGTGTCCTCCAACTGTATAACTAACTCTGCTAAGAGTATGAAAGTTGTAGCAATCTACAGTTTTCGCCTTTCTTCTAGCCGTAGGGCGAGGTCAAACTTTTGCAAGATTTAAAGGTGGATCTACGAGATATCAGTGCGTTGCTGTTGCAATCCTCAACGGTACATGAATACCATTGTTGTAGAGCTTATAAGGAGGGGAGGCTTTATCCAGCAGACCAGCCATGAATATCATAAATATGAAACTAGATAGCATATATCAAGTACACTCACAGCATAGCAAAAAAATTAATCTAAATCTATAAAATTTGTTTTTAATTTATGATCAAATTGTTTTCTTTAAAATCGACAAACCTTACAATATAAATTAACAATACATTTTGCATTAATTGACAATTTTATTTTTAATATCTAATGATATTCAAAGCTGTAAATGATTATTTTATTTTTCTTTGTTCTACAGCTGCTGCATTTGCAGTAAGGTTGCCAGAATCAACAAAGCTGAGTTGTTGTAACGGAACATGAATGATATCACTAGTACTGATTTGGATGAGTCATAGTGTCTATTAATCATGAAATTCAGCATGTGACTGGCACATGCAACTTAGTAAAAATATATCAGCATTGCATCCTTTCATATGCAAGAACACTGTGATAAATTATATCAGCAGGTTAATAAAGCATTATACATAACTATGATCGATTGTATGTTTGGCAAATATTCAAAGTGAAAGCTGGCTATAAGCACCACACAGAGTACAACACAGGCAGCCTTCTTGCCCACTAAAAGACTTTATGCAAACATTTGTACAGTAGGAGAGACATTGCTATAAAGAGATGAGAGTCTTTCTTGTTATGCTGCTGTACCTATATATACTTGGTGAGTGTATGTGTTGTTGGTATTATTCTCATTACTTGCTATAGTTCTGATTAAGATAAATGATGGCTCAATGCTTAGTCTCCAGTGTCCTTCATCATTCTGTTTAAACAAAGAATCATCCACTTGCACATGTACATCCAGAAATGGTTCTGTCTTACAGTGGACTGTCTTTACTGCAAACGGATCAAAGTCTGGAGTGATACAACACGTGGTTAATGAGTCAAGTTACAATACAAGTGAACACTATCCTCTGATTGGTAACTCTCAGTTTGTGTCTGTCATTACTAGCACTGTCATTGGCAATGTTAGTGCTACTCTTCAGTTCATCCCAACCAGAGCCATGAAAAACTATGTGATCCAGTGTAGTAATAACATCAGCTCAATTTCTGCTATGAAGGACATAAAATTTTATGGTAAACCTTGCATGATATTATAAATCATTATGCTATGTATTTTTTATACATTTTATTCTAATTTTAGGACCTCCATCTCCTCCTTTGAATATCACTGCTTCTTCATTCACACAAACTCAGTTTCTTCTTTCATGGGATCGCCCGATAAATCACAGTTGTGTTAACGAGTACACTTTTGATTCTCCTTATATGAACTTCCCATTTCTT